GAACCCGCGTCTCACCCTTACCGGATGCGCGTGCCAAGCACTTCACAATCTAACGCTTTGGAGATCACCACCGATAGGCAGGCGACGCCGCGCCGTCGCTCGCGCGGCACTCACAGGCAGGCAGCGCCCACATGTCTGGTTGTCTGCCTGCCTTCCCACGATGCGCGACGCCGCCGTTACAGTAGCTGAGTGAGATTTGACGTCGCGCAGCTTCGTACAAAACGTACCATGTGGTCCTTTGAGGGTTGAGGGCTCCTGTTTCTGCTAGTGTTGGGGTAGAGATCAGCCCGCGCCGAGCATCACATCCACTCGCCCACAGCCTCCCCCCTCAGTCTGGTGTAAATACTTAGTATTTGGATGGTCCGTCTTCACAAATTGTGCAGACCCTAGCATATTTTCATTAGATGGCTTAGCTGTTTTGTTCCCTGGTCTCGAAGTAAACCCAACCAGGGCTTCCTCAGGTTCACAGTCAGAGCAGTAGCCGGCCCTTGTGGATCACAGGGATTGCCACTATTAATTGCCTTGCGACTAGTAGCTACCAAGACTTCGGTCACTCGTGGGACGATTTCCTCTTAGCTGGGTTTTCCGAGTGGAAACGTCAAACTCTTTCTCAGCTTGGGTGACCCTGCTGAGAGGAGGAGAGGAGGAGGAGGAGGAGGAGGAGAGGAGGAGAATGGGGGGGGGTGGAACACCACGCTGTACTTCCACCCACGAACACCTCCTAGCCACGATGAGGCGGTCAGTCATTTAGGAGGAGATGTAAATAGGAGATACAATTATAGAATAAGATATAATAATGATAAGTACGGAGCACAAATCCAAATGAATAAACGACTTGAGTGAAGAATATTTCAATGACAAATCACAAACATATCATCTTCAGATCGCTCATAAGCCAATACAAGAATTCATCCAAAACAACGCTCTTCATTTAGAGCAGAATAGCGCAGCGGTTAGCGAAGCGGCGCATCAGGAAGCGAAGATAGCAGGTACTGGTTCGATCCCCTCTTTCGGCACTTCCGCAATCATATTAAGGAAACGCCGGTACTCGCCCATTATGAGGCGACAGGGGAAAAAACCGATGCCAATCGCTGTGCAGGAACTTCTCATAGGAATGTTAGAATATTCGAAAGCATGGATTTTTGGCTACAGCCCCACGCTGCCGGTTTCCCAATAGACCCTTTATAACGGTGTTGAATCCACAGTAAAACTATGTCTTTTATACGCATATTTCTCGTCGAACAGAGCTCTTTCCTTGGACTGTCACTGATCATTCGATAGCGTAATCGTTGCCGATTCCAACGCTGTGCTTATATCCTGAAAGACCGTTTCTCCGCAACGCAGCAGGTATAAGTTGAATTCGCAAGTGCGAGCAAGGGACTTTGGCCAGTTCACGTGCCGCTCACGCGATGCCTTAAGAGGGCTCGAAGGTCCGACTGATCATCGCCTCAGCGCACTGTTGTACGCCTTATGCAGGCGCACGTGAATCGGCCAAAGTCCACCTTGGTCGCATATGTGAAGTCAACTTATTTTACCTGCTGCGTTACAGAGAAACGGTCTCTTCAGGATATAAGCACAGCGTTGGAATCAGAAACGATTACGCTATCGAATGATTACTCAATAGTCCATAGAAAGAGCTCTGTCCGACGAGAAATATGCGCATAAAAGACATGGTTTTATGTGGATATTACATCGCTATAAAGGGTCCTTTGGGAAACTGGCAGAGCGGGGCTGTAGCCAAAAATCTATGCTTTCGAATGTTCACTAACATCTCCATGAGAAGTTCCCGTCCAGCGAATGAGATCGGTTTTTCCTCCGTAGCCTCATGATGGACCAGTACTCAATCACCTTGGCTTGGGTATCCCCAGTATTACAAGGAAAATCGTCTCGATCAGCTCTCTGCGAGACTTATGAAAAGAGGAGATCTTCGGAGCAGCAGCCGAAGCGACAGGCGAAACCTCAAACCCTCGAATTAACCCTTGTCTAGGGTTAATTCGAGGAAACGAACAATACAAGAAGTAACGATATTCACAAAGTAAACTGTGATCGCGGGTCGTCTAAACAATAAACCCATGCATACAAATAACCCTTCGTAGGTAGATAAGGATCTTCGAGAGAAAACAAAAAACCATTGTAATGAATAAACACCTCTCTATAAATGAACTATTAACCCTAAACAAAATAAACCCTGCAGAGGAATAATTAACCCTGAACGAATAAATGAATAATAATCATTCTTCATGTACTAATAAATCTTGCCCCCAACAAAATTAACCCCCTACGAATAATCTCAATTTAGAGGATTATAGTATATAAACGCATATACACAGGTAAATGTCTGGAGCACGTGATATATGTATATATGTATATATATATATATATGTACGTGTATGTATGTAGACACGTTCATGTGTGCATACGCATACACCACATACATGTTCAGGGCATGTACATACACATGATGCATATATTTGTACCAACGCGCTTACACTTACACACTACACACGTAAGCATACACGTGTCTGCAACCTATACATACATATATACATACATACACACACATCATATATATATTTATATATATATATATATATATATATATATATATATATACATAGGCGTGCACATGGATACACACCGAGTACACCACACCAGCACGAGAGCCCAAGTGCACGCACGCGCCAAATTTCAGACACCACGCCTAAATCGACGTGATTTCACACAAATTCGAGAAAATTCCCTATCAGCGGATATAAAAGGTTCCCTTATCTCGGAGGGTAACTCGCGGCCGGATTGTCGTCTTAGTTCGGCGTCCCTTCCTTCCTTTTCGGCTCTAGGCTTTTATTTTTTTCTTTTCCCTTTTTTTCTTACTTTTTTTTTTGTATCTGCAGGACTGCAGACTTCCAGCTGATGTCGTCGACGACGGAGCCAGTCGATATCACCGCGAAGAAGGTGCCGCGTAGATCAAAATTTCCCATTTTGCTCGTTTATTCGGTGTGGTTTCTCCATCAATCGCCTCGTTTTTGTAGGACGGTGGCGTCCTGAAGACAATCAAGAAAGAGGGCACCGGCACGGCCAAGCCAACTTCCGGAACATCGGTCAAGGTACGGCTATTGCTGACATCGTGCATATATATATATATATATATATATATATACATATATAAATACATACAGTGCATGTATATACACATATGTATATATATGCACACTTATATATATGGATATATATGTATGGGGCGTCTAATATATATATATATATATATATATGCATATATATGTATATATATATATATGTGAGCGCATGTGATGCAGTGGTTAGAGGTGCCCTGCGTCACATACGAAGTCAATGGTTCGATCTCGCGCTCATGGCTCACCAAGCCATTCATCCTTCCGGGGTCGGTAAATTGGTACCAGACAGGTCTCAGACTTGTCTGGGAGGATAAGCAGCACTGACTCGGTTCAGCGGGAGGCCTCCGCGAGTCATTGTAAAGGCCAGATAGCATTCAATCATCCAAACGAAGTTGGAAATTGAAGTCGAATGCATGGCGCATCCCTCAGAGATTGATCAACGCCGAGAGCTTTATCCTTTATCCTTTTATATATGCATGTGTGGGGGCGTCGTTCTACGCACCAGAATATCGAAAATAAGGTGGGCCGAACACGTGATGCACTCCATCGACAACCGATGGACGAGAGCCGTTACCGACTGAATTCCTCGGGACGTCAAGCGCTCTAAAGGAAGATCACCGACCCGTTGGTCCGATTTCTTCACGAAAGCGATGGAAGATAGATATGATGCTCATCGAATCCTCAGAGCGAGGAGGACCCCACTGGGCTACTCTTGCACGCGATAGGGAAAAATTGAGGAGTTGCGGGCACCCGCTAGAGTCACTCGACGATCAACAGGATGTAGGGGGCGCCTTGGTCAAGTGGTTGTGATGCTCGTTGCGGCGCGCGTCGAGCCGAGCTCCACCTCCTAACCCTCTCTAGTAGTCAACGACGTCTTATAGAACGCCACGGCCAGGGTGTCGTCGAGATAAGAGATCATGATGGTGGTTGGTTATGTTGTTGATTGATGGATTCTTCAATTAATTAGCACTTAAATTAGCGAAATTGTCAGAATGCGAAGGATATTACGGGATAACTCATAGATACGTGCATATATTCATGTATAGAGCAGATATGTACCTATGAGTGAGATAAGAGCAGTGATTTTGCTGAGTGGGCGCGCGCCAGGTATGGATGAAGGACGGGGTTCAATCCTGCTTGGGGTCAAAGTTGTGCTCACCACTCAGCATCCTCGGATACTTTATATGTATGTACGTGTGTATGTGTGTACTCATGTTTATCTAGACGCGTATATCTATACATATGCGTATGTGTGCTTTTTATCTGCTACATATAAATTTCGAATAACTAAGAAGTGGCAGTGGATTTTGTCTCATATATCTCTCTTATGATACTGCTTTGTTGGACAGTGACCACGTCTTTTGTTGGTCCCATGAAATCTTCCTAGGTTAAAGTAGATTTAAAATCGCATGTGGCTCAGTGGATAGAGGTGCTATGCGTCTCGCACAAGTTCGATGGTACGAACTAGCGCTCATGGCTTACCAAGGCATACAACCTTTCGGGGTCGGTAAATTGGTACGAGACTTGTTTGCTAGGATAAGCAACACTGACTCGATACAGCGATATGCCACCGCAAGTCATTGTAAAGGCCAGATATGCTAGAAATTGACGAATGCATGGCGCCTCCTTCAAGGACTGATTAGTGCCGAGAGCTTTATCCTTCAACGTAGATACTTCGTAGCTCAGATATAAGCTAACATTCCGATTCTTCACTGAAGGTCGTATATTAGTGGGATCTTTGTAGAAACTAGGTGCGGTTTTTTGTGTGCCGTTGTTCGCTTACTGACCTTTGGGTGTTCTATTGAAGTCTTTCAAGTTCCGTTCTTATTCTCATCTTATTGCTTTCGATAGAGTGACAGCTGAATACGAGCCTCTGTAGTGCAGTTGGTTGCAACGCGCTCCCGGAAAGAGTGAAATGCGGGTTCAATCCGCGTCTGAGGTTCAAAGTTGTATATCACTAAGCATTGTCGGATGTATATTCGTAACTTTATGCCAATGCTAAAGGCGGTCAGTAGAGAGGGTTCCTATTTATTGTACTTGTCTTTTTTGTCTCGATTATTTTATTCGTTTTATCCGAATTCGTTAGAAAAGCCCCTCTATAACGAACGTAATTGCTAACGGATCCAGTACGACCATGCGCGTGATTTCTAGACATACTCTATTGGACTTTCCATCGGATCGGACGTCTTCGATGCGCTTTTTTGGCAGAAATTCCTTAATGAGACTTTTTGCAGTGTGTTGATATCTTTTAATACGTTGTTCTTCTAGTGGAAACTGCTGGGATGGGCGCTCTCAACCAGTTGACTTCCGCGGACCCAAACTGAGCGTACCTGCGAGCGTGGGTCCGCGGAAATCAATCGCCTTTTCCCTACAAAAAGACGTTTGCAGAAGGCAGATCAGAACTGGGAGGGGAGTAATGGACAAAACATAAAAGAATTGAAAAGGAGTATCTTTCCACCATCGTACGAAATCTTTGGGGAAAGCTATTTTCATCGTGGTTAGGGTTTTTTTTTTTTTGTTACAAAGCACAATTGGCTCTTTGTCTGAGTTTGTTTGAAGAGCTCTTCATTTTTAGTATTTCTGTAACGTTATAGCTTTATAAATTTACCACTTGCTCCAGAAGTCATTAACAGACTATTCGGTCTTCGATATGGATTTTCGTAGCTGCGAGCAACCAACCGTTGTAGATTTTGGTTCTCTCCCTGAGTCGAAAATTTGGGACTGTCAAGAACACGGAATTATTTATTTTTGGGTACCAGAACTTATAGAAATTCTAATCCAAATAACTGAAGATACCGATACTTTACATAGATGCCTAGAAAGTTTAACACACAAATAATATAAAGAAACATACAGAAAATAAGTAAAAAAATCCGAAAAAGGGACAGGGGGAGACAAAAGGACCAAGCAAGGGAAAAAAAAATTAACAAGAAATTATCAAGAAAAAGAAAGGAAATAGAATAAAATTAAAAATGATTTAAAAGTTTTTTTTAGACAATAAGATAATGTAAATTAAATCAAAGCTAACATTCAAGCGTAACAAAATCGAATATATAGGAGGAAAAAAAAAAAAAAAAAAAAAAAAAAAAAAAAAATTAAAAAAAAGTTATGGATTATGAAAAAAACAAAATTTTTGTTTAGATGTTTTGAAGCGTTGGGGAGAGGGAGTAGGGGGGGAAGGTGAGGGGGAGAGGGAAAAAGAAAAGGAGAAACACAAGCGAGCGACCCCACCCCCCGCCAAACAAGATGAAGAGGATTTAGAAAGAAATAGTGTAAACAAGGAACGCGCTGGGGTTTTTCTTTTTTTCCCCTCGTTTTTCTTCCTCCCTCTCTTCCTTTCTTTTCCATCCTTTTTCTTTTTTCCCTCTCTTCCTCTCTTCCTCTTCTCCTTTCCTTTCCTTCTTTCCTCCCCTCCTCCCCCCCCCCCCCCTCTTCCCTTTTCCCCCTTCCCCCATCTCTTCCTTCCCTCTCCTCCCTCCCTCCCCCTCCCCCCTCCTCCTCCCTTCCCCTTTCCCCTTCCTTCTCCCCCCACTCCCCCCCCCCCTCCCACCTTTCTCTTTTTTTTTTTTTTTTTTCCCTTTCCCCCCCCCTTCCATAGCACTCTTCCCTCCCCCTCTTCTTCACCTATCTATCCCCCCTCCCCCCCCGCGAACAACACCAAAGTTTTCTACACCATTCGCAACGTCGATAATTACTATTTGATTAGTGAATTTTATTTTGTTTAATTGTTGCCTATTTTTTCGAGTACTGTGTGTCGTGGAACACGCACGAAGGAGAACCGTACATATAGAGTCTAGTTTATGGGAAAGATGATACAGAAGGGGTACAGAAGGAGCGGGAGAGTTATTTGTATTTTAGAAGTTAGTGGGTGTGGTCGGGGGTTCGACGGCAGCGGGTCTCCGGGAAATATACGAAATCGAGCAAGAAGTTTTAACACTAATGTTTTTGTTCACCGCTTCAAAAAACAAGAATTTATTTACGTACATAGGAACAAATGGAACTTTACTGTACTCCACATATCGATTGATCCAAACACAGTTCTCTTTTTCTATTGATTTACTTGTCTCTTCTTCTTTTCATTTTTCTTTTTTTTTCTGTTTTTTTTTTTTCTTTTTCGGCCTTCTTTGTTTATTTTATCTTTTCTTCATCTTCTATATTTATATGTCTCTTATTTTTTTTTTTTCTTATTTTCTTTTTTTCTTCACATTTTATATATTTTTTTGATTTTTGTTTTTTACGATTCCCTTTGTATTCTTTTTCTTTTTTATTTTTTAATTTCTATTTTATATTTTGTTACTATTTTTTTCTTTTATTATTTTTTTTTTTTTTTTTTTTTTTTTTTTTTCTTTTCTTTTATCTCTCTTTTTTTTTTTTTTTTTTTTTCATTTTTTTTTATTTTTTTTTTGTTTTTTTTCTTTTTGTTGTATTTTTTTGTGTTTGTATTTTATTTGTTTATTTTATTATTTTTTTTTTTTTGGTTGTTTATTTTTTGTTTTTATCGTTTTTCTTTAGTTTTTTGGCATTTTTTTTTTATTTTAGTGTTTTTTTTTTTTTTTTTGTTTTTTTTTTTTTTTTTTTTTGTTTGTTTTATTCTTTTATTCCATTTTTTTATTTTTTTTTTTCTTTTATTTTTTTTTTTTTTTTTTTTTTTTTTTCATTGTTATTATTTTTTCTTTGTATTTTTTAGTCTGTTTATTTTTTTTCAATTTTTTTTTTTTGTATTTTTTTTTTTTCTTTGGTGTCGGTTGTTTCTGTTTTTTTGGTTTTGTTTTTTTTGTTTGATTTTTTGTTTTTTTTAGTTGTTTTTTTTTTTTTTTACTTTTTTTTTTTTTTGGTTTTTTGCCTTTTTCTTACTGTTTTGTTTTTGTTGTTTTTTTTTTTTTGTTCTTTATTTTTGTGTTGTTTTATATTGAGTTTTTTGTCTAAACAAAAATATATAACTCAACCATATAAAGCACCCCGCACTATCTGACCCCTCTACATAGAACATCCTCATTCTACCACATTTCTTTAAAGCTCCCAAACACATTAAAGCCTTTAATTAATTTATATACACCATAAATATTTATGTAATAATAAAAATTTCAAAAATATTCAAATAAACAACAAAAAAATCTTCTCTTTTGCACATATAACGAATAGTGAGATGTTAAAGCATTCACTATTTTTCGTAAAATGCTTCGCATATAGATCCAACAGTGTTCCGAAAGTTCCCTCCTAACCCCAACAGGTTCAGCGTAGTAGCTAGGGGGCCGTCTAATTTCTTGGTAATAATCTAAATTCAAATTTAAGAAATCGCCAAACAAAAACCTACACCCCTGGATTTTTTATTTTCGCATCAGTATACTGTACAACTCTTCCTCCCACTTTCGGGCTCTTTTATATTTTGGATTATTGGCTGTAAGCCACCACATTAACATTATTTGGGATATGAATCACAACTATTGGTTAATATGAACTTTTTTTTTTTTTTTTTATTTTTTTAACTTTGTATTTTTTTTAAAACTAGTGCTGTGTATTTATTGGTTCTGTCTACCTGCTCTTTGTCAATGCGGGGAATGTTGATTTCACCTTTGAGTAGGTATCGTTTCAACACCAAATTTTTTCATGCTTGTCATTGAGGATTTTTTGTTGTTTTAATGTTTAGGAGTATATACGTGTTGATACTTACCCCCCCCCACCACATACTTGCATTGAGAGTAAGCACGTTCTGTCTTACACCTCCCTTTTCTCTGCCCACCTATTCAGCAGCAGCCCTCCCCCCCACTTCACCCCCTAGACGGGCTCAATCAGGGACGGTGAAGAACGGGACAGCATAACCATATTTTTTTTGTCAACTTATCTTTTCCGGGATACATGACCACTTGTTTTTTGCCTACCACGTTGACATGAAGAACTAATCTAGGTCGTACAGCACAGGTATCGTGGAGGTTGTGGCTCTGAGCAATATCAACTTCCATGATTTCAGTTATTCACTCCATGGACTTGAATACGGAATCAGTGGCATGTATAAAAATCTTTACCTACCCATTTGTGTCCTGTCGAATTGATTTCATGACGCGCCGTCGTGCATTCGCTGGGTTCTTTTCTGGTGTCTTTCTATTTCATTTTGTTTAACTGTTTTTTTGTTTTCTTTTTTGTGTGCGATTCTTGCCTGATAGTCTTTCTCGTCTTGTGTCTTCTGGCAGGTGGAGCGCTCCCGCCCCCAGAGTTTTGGTGATTAGAGTTTGAGTTGCTGCTAGGAGTGGTGAGAAAAGGAAGATCAAACAAAAAAAAAA